CGGAATGCGATTTTTACCGGGGAATCCCCCTCGAAACATGTTTGGGCTAGTTTTGGGCTAGTTTTGAGTAGCAATTGGGCGGGTTTTGTTGTGAAAACCTGGCAACCCTGGCCTCCTTTGTCTTTTTTTTTTTATACTTTGTACTTTTGGTGAAAAATAAATGTAGCGAAGTTGAATACTTTAGTTTCATTTTACGCAAGTAAAAGTAAAAGTACCACAATTTAATTATACTCAAGAAAGTAGAAAACGTGTAAAAATGTACTCAAGTACTGTAACGAAAGTATTTGTAATTAGTTACTTTCCACCTCTACAACAGGCCTGTGCCACCTTGACTTTGGGCCGTGAGGACGCAAAAGAGGCAAACTCAGACCCGGCTAAAATTTCCTGCATAGTCCATAGCAGCATTTCAAGAGGAAGAGCAGGTGAAGTCGCAACCATATGCCCCAACACCCTGTGAAAAGTCCTGGTGGTGAGAAATTGCCCTTTATTTTTCGAATGCCCTGAAGTCTTAAACAAGCTAGCACCACATCCTTGCACATATATGCAAATATTTGAAAACTCTGTAAATCTGGCAGAATAGAGTCCAGAACTGCAAAACCTTTCAGTGGAGATACGGGTAAAAGGGAAGCACCGCTGGGAGGTAAGGTTTGGTATCCAACGGACGTACCCCTAAACAAAAGATATACATGTCCTAAACACTACTGAATCACTAGGCAAAATGGGCTAAAACTATTGCACACTGAAGAAAAGAATATCTAATGTGATGGCACCAAGCATGCACTTATAGGGGCACTGTGACACAGCTTCTTATGGGCGGTAATTTAGCACCATCAGCCGATGAATTAGCAGGATATTGTAAGGCTTCAGACCTGGTGATCACTAACACAATCACATTGTGTCATTATGCAGCATTGAGATCCTATGAAAGGGAGCTGTGATCTGCACTAAAATTGTGAGTTTATGAACATCAATTATTAGAAAGTATTCACTGAAGCGTTAGTGAATCCCGACAACTCATGCAATATATACATACATACATACATACATATATATATATATATATATATATATATATATTCAAGAGCCAATATCTAGAGAGTAAGGATGTGTCATACATACATATATATATATATATATATATATATATATATATTCAAGAGCCAATATCTAGAGAGTAAGGATGTGTCCGTGTCTTATTTGGAAATGCATGGGTAATCACCTAAAAATGGATAATGAATTCTAACAGAAAACAGAAAAAAAAATAGTTAGATGCAGTCACTCCATGCACTTGCTGGATAACAGGTAAGCCAAGTAACTGCATGATATTTTAGATAAACACCTAAAATGACAACACTATAGTGAGTCTGTAAAGTGATAATCTTTAAACTATACAACTAAAAATTAGTGCAGCATGATTAAATAGCCACATTGCAGGTTCTGATGTGCAGCAGCAAGCATGAAGTTTACAACCAGATACATTGCACACTTGTTTCCTATAAGGCAGGGCTGTACAGTGCGACATATATGTCGCACGTGCTACGAAATAACTGGTCTGTGCGATGAATACATTTACCACTGTAGCACGCGTGCGTGTCTGCCATTCTTTTTTATTTTATATTTTGTTAAGGTGTAAGAGATGTTATGTTTCTGCACTCTTCCGTTTTTAGCAAATTAAGAAAACTTTGTCTAAAAACAATTTTTGTGATGGTTTGTATTTTTTGTGCTCTGTATGGAACATCAGTGCCTGTTTAAGTGATGAACTCCATTACTTGTGTTTGATTTCAGACACGATAACAGACGTTTTATACTTGTGCTACAACTTTTTGGCCTGTGCTACAAAACTTTCAACCTCTGTAGCACCAGTGCTATGTGAAAAAAAAAGTTAACGTACAGCCCTGCTATAAGGGCTGTGCCGAAAAGGTTGCTAGAAGCATAGAAAAATATAAGGTTGTTTGCTTAAGGTATTAGGACATCAGCGTCAGTACTTAGCCATTTGAGTGCATCAGTGATTGTACAGTTCACCTAAACAATTCTGGCACAAATGTATTTCATGTTTCATGTATGAATTAAATTACAAAGAATGAATGATCGGAGATGCTTTTTCTGTGTGTGCATGGGTTCCATAAGCTATTTTGCAATGGTTTTCAAAAAGTGGTGAGGACAAAATTGACTTGACATGTCCCACCCACCCCATAGCCTACTCAAATGATGCATATGTACTATGAACTATTTTTCGTTTTATTTACAGTTTAGTGTAATTTTAATTTGAAGATATTTATAGATATTTTGTAATAACAATTTTATGAATTATACATGGCATATTTGCTGTATGTAAATTATGAAGAACACTTTACATCAAAAATGGGCTTATGCCCCACCCACATCAGGTTTGATTAGAATACAGATAGACAATCCCACTGGCCCACACAGAATCTATTTCCAGAGAACTCAGTAAAAAGCTCCTCAGAATTGGGACGCATTCACAAACCCCTTGCATGTTCATTTCTAAAAAAATTTGGGGGGGTAATTTGGACCTTTTAGCTATAGTATTGTCATCTCTGCTTAACACATTTTAATATTTCACAGAATATTTACCCCCAAAAGCACCACAGAAAATCAGTCAAAAAATGCTGTCTGGCTTACTCATTAGTACAGTCAGCAGAGAAACAGATGCCTGCTCAACAAATCCCTGCTTAGATTAAACTTCAATCACCCTACATCCCCCTTCGCCACCCCATCCACCACCACCCGAGTGGGGCTGGGTTAGAAGGGGAGACATAATCTATCAATAATGCAAACATAATTGATCTTGCATGATCCCTCATTGCCTTCCTGAGTTCCACCATGAAAGCCAATCCACATTGCTGCATTGCTGCTAATTCAGCTCAAAGACCTTTCTGACAGTGTTCCAGCAGCATATATTACAAAACAAAATTCCTGTGAATATACTTAAGCTGTATCAGAGTGCCCATCAAATTTCACATTTATTTATTTATTTTTTACCAGTTTTTCTTTTTTTAGTCAGTTTATATTATTAGATAAGATACACATGATTAAATTTTTTTTCTAAAGATTACATTTTTAATTTTACACTTGTTAATGTTAAAATCTGTGAATCCAATAAAACTCCAAGCAGCACTGAAAGGTTTGTGCAATAAATAATTGGCAGCTGAGAACATGAAACCAAATTAGAGAGGTTTTGAAATCAAAATTGTTAACACCATAATCAGCCATGTCCATATTTATGCATATGTAGTTTATGGTGATATTATTACATTTCAATGTTTAATTATAGTGTTATTTTATTTTTGTGGGTAAGTTTACTTTTGAATGTTGATACTGTTTTGAATCAATATTTGATGCCCAATGCAAAATATGAGTTCTGAAGCAAAACTAGTTGTAAATTAACCATTTACTTAATTCATTATATGTGCCTATATCTTATAAGCTTTCTCTCATCATATTAGTTTTTACATAATATAATAAAGTTATGTGGACAGCAGCACATAATGAAAATCACAGTTCTTTTTCTCCTTTTACAAAGCTCTAGTTGCTCTGCTTGTTTTTTTATTATTATTATTAGAACTGTTGAGGGAGGTTAAAAATAGTGTTTAGAGTCAACAGAGTTTTATTATAATCGCTCATTTTCAGTTTAATGCCAAGAATGGCTGAGACTTTAAGCACTTAAGTGGCAGCAACAGTATATTCTCTCGTTTGGAACCACACACATTTTTTTTTCTGTCATGGTGAAGACATTCCATTGACTTGTAATGTTTTTATACTGAGAAAATTATATTTTCGATCTTCTAACCCTAACAAACACCCTTTGCATTTTTTAATTATTTGTATTATTTTAACATTATTTAGTATGTTTATTTAGCCATTTTCCTCATGAGGACTATCGATTGGTGCCCACAATGTAGATTGTACTTGTGGAGACAAACACAAACACGCACACACACACACACACACACACACACATACACACACACACACACACACATCCATTTTAGGGTTCCCTAAAAATATTGTGGTAAACCATAACATTGTTTCTACACAGATATGTGTAGAGCATACTCAAGCATACACACAAAGGGCAGCGGACCCACCCCTCTCTCAACGTCAGACACATGGAAATCAGGTATTTTACAGCAAAAGGTACTTAATGCTTTTGATATTATTACACTCACAACAGTTGCACACAGTCACTCACAACAGTCTTAATTCTACACTATTAAACACCCTCCATTTGTGCTGTATGTTGTATTTTTGACCATTTTGTGTATACATTGTTTTTTGTATATAATCACTGTGAGTAGTAATACAACATCTGTACTGTATAGTTTGGAAATCAAATGTTTTGAAAGTGTGACTAAGCATGAACCTGATTCAAAGGAAAACAGCACTGGAGGAAACAATGTCAGTCAAAACACTGTAATCAGCAGATGAACAGTCCTTGTACAGACTTCTCAAGGTGTGGAGCGAGAGAGAGATTTCCAGAAGTAAATGTAACAATAAAAACCGAGAAGAAACCTGCTCAGCACTTCTCCTGAACACACACGCCCATCTTCACCTCAACACACAGAGACAAAAATCAAAGGAACCAACCCAAGGCAAAAATCAAACAAACAAAAAAACACACTATAAACATACACAAGACTTGCCACCTGTCCATCAGCCAACCTCTTGAAAATTATAGCAGTGTTGCACAGTGTCATTTAAGCTGCAGTTACAAAAAACACTAACACCTTTATTTTGTTTTTCAAATCTACTATAATGCTTGGGTATCTAAGCACAGTTTATTTAAAGTAAATCATCAACAACTACAACTCACTCAATTCCAAACTGTATTTAAGACATACACTTATCAAATAAACTGTATTTAATAAATACTGCAATTTTAACATAAACGGCATCACATCAGGAACTTCCACAAACACTTAGATCCTCTGATACTACATTAAGACAGAGCAGGTCCTTAAAGTGAAGTCCATGTTTACCTGCTTTGGCCACCTCCTCCTCCCTCCAAGCCCGTTGAGTTTGTCTGTAGCCTCCATCCTGAGATGGGACTGAGTGTCTTCATTCATTACCCTCTCAAATAAGTCAGCGTATCCCTCTTGTTGTCTTTTCTTAAAAGTTAAGTACTCAATAAGTCCTTGTTTCATCCATCCAAAGGAGATCCCCTCCACTCTCTATAGTCTCCTATTCACAGTGATGGTAGTAACAAATAAAGAGCGAGGGACTAGAAAGGGGGAGTGGCCAAGAGAGGGAGAGAGAGAGAGAGAGCGACAGAAGCTGGTCGCTAAAATAAGGAGGGTGATGGGTTTGGAGGGAGGAGGGAAGCACTGTGGTATCACCATGGTAACATCTCCCACCAGTGTTTATTGGGAAGCACAGCCAGTCCCAGTTGCTACCCATGTGTGTGTGTGTCTCTCTATTTTTTGTATCTTCATGGCTACGAATGGAATAACAGGCATGAAAAAGGTAAAGGGTGAATGTCAATTTTTTATGTTAAACTATTTATGTATAATGGTCAGTGTTGGGGGTAACGCATTACAAGTACGTAATCAGATTACTTTTTTCAAGTAACTAGTAAAGTAACACATTACTTTTTAATTTACAAGACAATATCTGAGTTACTTTTTCAAACAAGTAATGCAAGTTACTTTTTTTTTCCAATTTATTGCTTGACAGCTCTCCTGTCCCCATGTTGAGAGAAATCAGAAGATGTTACTGTAGTAATGGTACACCAGTCTTAGTTGTACTGTGTTTACTGTATTCATATTTAAATGAGTCATTATATTACCTTTAACTGAAAACGTACATATATACTTTATTACAGTAAGGTGAATATTATACTTATTCAATAAAAATTACTATTGAGAATAAGAAGAACTACAAAAAAGTACAAATGTGCAGATACATTAAACAAAAGCATATCCACAATAACAAAGAGTAAAACTGTGAAGGGAGGATGTGTAGATAGATTTCAAAATTTGTCTTTCTTTTTTTTTTTTTTTTTTCAAATTCAGAAAAGGGTGGCCTTAGCAAACTGGCTGCAATTTTTTCCCCCCCCAGTGAAAAGAGCTCATAAAAATTACTATTGAGAATAAGAAGAACTACAAAAAAGTACAAATGTGCAGATACATTAAACAAAAGCATATCCACAATAACAAAGAGTAAAACTGTGAAGGGAGGATGTGTAGATAGATTTCAAAATTTGTCTTTCTTTTTTTTTTTTTTTTCAAATTCAGAACAGTGTGGCCTTAGCAAACTGGCTGCAATGTTTTCCCCACCCAGTGAAAAGAGCTCTGTGTGATCTTTACACAGAAGAGATGCTGCTCATGTTAATGATTGCCCCTGGTCATGTCCCACTGCAACACAGCTGACAGAACATAATTACAAATCACAGCTGCTGCTTTAACAACAGTGGTGCTGAGGAATTTATTATATTACAATTCTAAATTCAAATGAAATTAGACCGAAAGTTAAAGTCTTGTTAGAGTTGACTAAACATATCATATAACACTTTTTGCCATATTTATTTTTGTCAAAATAAAAAATAATCTAAAAAAAATGTTTAATGCTCATGCAAATGGTTCCGCTCAGCCCGCCCGATCAGGGTTCGACCCTATTTAACCACCAGCAGAGGAGGTAGGTGCTCTAACAAGGAAGCTAAAGACTGCAGCCTCTAGTGTCTAGAGGCTGCAGTACTAGCATTCCTCTTGAGGCCAGGCTTTAGGTTTACATGCACAGCTCTTAGCTGGCCTCCGTTATACTTATTTTTACTTTGTTTTCAATTTGAATTTAGTTATACCATACTGGGAATTGGGAACTGATAAAAAAGCCACGTTATATTGTCTGTGAACTTTAAACATTCTGTCAACTAGACACATTCTGTAAACAGTGGTTTTATGGATAATTAAAATAAAAGTCATATTTATAATGTGTAAATTTACAGTATCATCCTCAATGTACAGTAGTCTGCACAAGTTTCGATGTACAGTAATTTAATCACCAAGCTTCTTAAAGTTGCCACCCAAGTGACTTTGCAGTATCAGCCATGCCATCCGGACCACCTGAATTTCTTGGCACCCAAAGGTTGTTAGTATCATGCTTGGGAGAACAGACAGATGGGAAGGTGGATAAGAGTGTGTTTACATCCAAATCATAACCACATCAAAGATTCATTTTCAATGATTGAGATTTTAAGATGACCAAATATCTTGCCTTTCTACCTAAAACAAAGGGTAACACGTTCTATGAAGCCCGTATTTATAACACAGTATAAGGGTATTCTTAAGGCATTATAATGAATGCATAATGCATTATAAAAAATGTATAATATGTTGTTTCATCTCATAAATAATCATAACAAAAATTATAATACACTATAAGACATACTTATTTGTGGTTATAACTTTTATGAGTATGATTATTTATAACATGCAATAAACACCATGATATCTTACTGGCAAATGTTCTATATAACACATTAATCCAATCAAATATCTGTCTGTTTAAGAAAAAATATTGTTATTATCATTATTATTATTGTTGTTGTTGTTGTTGTTGTTGTTTATAAGTGGTCTTTGTCTGCTTTAAGTATAGTAATAAGTTAACAATGGCAAGAAATTAGACTTATAATTCATTATAACTATGGGAAATATAAGCCATTGTAAGTTAAGTGGATGCATTGTGTTCATTGTGTGTTATAAATCATCATACTCTTAAAAGCTATAACCACAAATAAATAAATATTATAATGCATTGAAACTGTTGTAATGATTAATCATGAGATGATACAACATATTATAAGTTTTTTATAATACATTATGCATTCATTATAATGCCTTAAAAATACCCTTATAATGTATTATAAATACGGGCTTCAGAAAGTGTTACCAAACAAGGTAATATGTTGTGGCAGGCTCATGTGTAATACAACATTTGAAACTTTATTTGAAATGTGTATTGTATAATGCAGAGCAAATTTACAAGCACACCACAAAAGATATAAAGCTTGCATTAAAAGAACAGAAAATTAATGTTTATTAGGAATGTACTAATAGCAGTTACTAAAGTAAATGGGGCCTTAATAATTGTGTTACTTCTCTTTAATTAATACAGTGCAGCTGTCATGCACTCAAACAGGCATGCTGCCCAAGGTTTAGTGCTATTACATGTGCATCAGTGAGCCCATTCATAGATGTCTATGGGCTCAATACTGAAAGCAATAAAAGATAAAGTGTAGTCCCCACTGCATTCAAACAGTGTCTGAGTGAGTAACTGCATAATGAGTTTAAACAGTCAGAAATCACTGCTCTGCATGTTCAAAAAGTTGTAGTCGAAGTGCTCATGTTCATCACAAACAGGCAAAAGGATAATGACAGTCATTGTAACAGGTTCATAGGGAACTGTTTTGCAGTATGAACGCTAAAATATAGGGATCACATAAAGGCTTGTTCAGTTGTAAGTGTAAAATCTGAGTGTATTTTCGGTTTGTAAATCAAAGGACCTCTACCCTGCAATCAACCCCTAATCCAGTTTAACAACTTGACCTGAATCATAAGTGTATTGGTCTAATAAATCAAAAGACTTTTACCTTACCATCAACACCCAATCACCTACCCATTTTGACCTTGTCCTGCCCCAGATTAAATCTTTCTGGGACCACATAAATCAAAATACTTCTCAACGCTGGGCATCAACAGTATGCTGGTTTAAATATTGCCTGTTTGGTACACACATATCAAGGTACCTTGGAAGGGGTATTTAACTCAAATAAACTAACCACTGGGGTACCTCAGGTTTCAGTGCTGGTGTGAACAGGCCTTTAGGGTAACAACAGAGAGAACAATGTGAAATTTCATGTACAGCAGACCCCAAACAAATAGAGGGGAAGCTTCACCTCCCCCAACTGACTCGACAGAATGCACCACATGTTCCCCTTCCCCCTTTCTCCCCCACAATCAAATCAGCTAAACCAAATGGGTTTAGGTGGCTGACCAAATTGGACTACCAGTCATTAGGGGCTTATCTGAGGTTGACCCAGCAACTAACTGGCTACCATTTAAAAAACAAACAAAAAAAAAAACATCTGTTAGCTGGTATGAACTGGTATCTCCAGCATAACCCTTGACCAAGATGGTCTAAAAATTCAGTAGTCCAGCTAGTTAACTACAATAACCAGCTAATGACCAGCTTGTTTCAAACACAGCTACATTACCACAGTAAGGTGATTTCAGCTAGAAATTCCAGCAAGGAAAAGTGCCTTTAACTGGAGTGAAGGACCAATTTAGAATAGCATTGTTTGTAAACATTGCATTGATGTTTGTAACTGACCCATAAACAGACCAAAATGGAATCTGTTGACTGCATTTTCTGTGCTGATTTTGTCGGAAAATCTTTGAAATGTTCAAAATTAGTGCTTGCGTAAATTAAAGATGGTATGAGACAGACTGTGTGTGTGTGTATGAGCACTTGTCTGGGCACCTCGATCCCTGCTGGGAAACTTTCAGGCCTGGGGAAAATGTGTTGCCATAGAGACACATCTAAGTGAATATCCATAGCAACTGCCGTTGAAATGCATGGTCAAAGTTTTTATCTGATATGTACATTGAAACCAAAGTGTAGAATTACATGTGTGTGTGTCTGTGTCTCTCTCTCTCTCTCTCTATGTGTGTGTGTGTGTGTGTGCGTGACTTCTGATATGCCACACCTAAGTTCATCATTAGGCTTTGATAGTGCTGATACTTCTGCTTAGCATACGAGCTCTATGGTACAAAAGAGATTTATATTTATATTTATACTTATATGACTTTACAAAATTATTTGAGAATGACTCATTTTTATCTATAAATATCAACCACTGTTAAGAAAAAAATATTCTTGCTTTTATTAAACAACCAAAATTATTGTTGAACACCAAATAGCATTAATGAATCAAAGGCCTTTCTGTCCAAACAGTAAGCACAGTTTTATTATTTCTTCCAAACATCAGTCTTATTAAATCAATATTTTACAAACAGGAAGTGTCTCTCAAATAAATCAAATAAATATATTAGTGGACATTTCCTTGCAAAATAAAAGCATAAATAAATGAATAAATACTTTAAAAAAAAAGTCCACTCCACAGCTATCCCCGAAATAATTAACTAACTAATAATAATAATATTAATAATAATAATAATAACA